AAGAACATCCTGAAAAAGAAATGATGGCACGTCTGCCTAATATCAAGCAGACAACAACTTCAATATGCTGCACCTGGTGTGTATACATTGACAAAAAAAAAAAAAAAAAAAACGCGAACACAATCATTTCGCTCAGTAAATGCTGGTTTTTGTTTTCTTTCAAAGTTTTGAAGCAAGGATTTCTTGTTGATTGCGTGAAGGATAATTATGAAAAAAAAATGAGAGTCACTAAACGGATAAACAAGTCTATTTAAAACTATGGCTCTTTGTAGGGTAATACCTATGGCTAACGAATTGTGGACGGCAATAGTGGTTTTCACCGGTATATCTACCATACCATGATACGATATTGATTATAACGATTGTGTCAACTGTTGTGGTTGTGGTGGTGGTGGTGGTGGGGATGATGATGATGATGATGATGATGATGATGATGATGATGATAATGATGATGATGATGATGATGACGATGACGATGGTGACGATGATACGAATAATGAAGATGATGATGATGATTGTGAAAATGATGATTATAAACAATATTTATAGGCTTCATAAGCCTAATGATTTTGAACGTAGGCCTACACTCTTGAAAAAAAAATACAGATAGTCTTAATAACATTTTAGACTTCTTAATTTAAGGCATTATAATGCCAATACTTTCAATTTGAATCTCATAGTTAACCACCGTCTCGCATCGTGCAGGACGGTCCCACTTTTCAAAGTGATTTGGATGAAACACGCATTTTGCGGAAACACGTCATACGATCATAAATTTGTCACGCATTTAGCGTGAAACGAATTATCACAAATTCAGGGGAACATTTAGCGTGAAACGAATTATCACAAATTCAGGGGAAAATTTATTTAAAATTAGAAGAAATTGGTTTTATTAAAAATATATAAACAATCGTGCAGTAACAGAGTCATTAGAGAGCTTTTGTTATCTCGTTCGAGAATCAATTCACCGAGAACATTTCTCTTTCCCGTTTATTGTCAACAAACACTCCCTGAAATCGTTTTAAAGCAGCCTAAAAATGCTCATCGTCGGAGCTCCAGCGCCTCATGGACCCAACGGGAGCCCCGCCCCTGGACCCCGGCAGGGGCCACGGCGTCCCCCTCCCCAGCCAACTGGTGTAGTCACTCACGCATTTCAAATCCCTCGGGTTGGTAACTACGGAATCTGTCAAAAGCCCCTAGATGGCAAGCACAATAGAAACAGATAAATAAACCAAAACACACGCACACAACTCGGTAACGGGCACAAAACGGATGATCGACACACGTGGATGGTTCGTGAATCGTAGGGTTCATGGCAAGCAATTGAATTTGGTCCCGCGGGAGTACGTCCTTCCCCTTGACGCTCCTCTCAATCCAGGTTTTACTAAACTGCTTGTCGTATCCGTCCATGATCATGTTCCAAATGCCTTACACACAAGTAGGTTGGTGGATGGGTGAGTCAGACACAGGACAACTTGCGGGGGGTTTCAAGGAAAAATTTGTTATATTGTACAGATATTTAAAAAAAAAAATCTGACAAATTTAATTATTGTAGCATGGGCATATTAGGCATACAGTATACAAGCAACATGATAAATGGTAATGTGGTTTTATTGGCTCAATTCAGTTAATTTTACAGTACTGCACTGCCATGTTATGTTCAATAAATCAAAAAGGAATGAATGAATAAGTGACTGAATGCACCAATAAACGGACGGACGGACGAACGGGCGTTGAGTGAGTGTGCACGGAAGAAAGAACGAACAAATATGAATTAATTAAACCAAAATGTACTGTATAGGTGGGGCGTGCCTTATTTTAGTCTTACTTTCGTCCTGACGTATAATTAGGCATAGGCCTAACTGTAGACTTACGGTACCTACAGTAATGGTTGTGGATTTTTGGACTGCATACTGGAAAAATAAACATTTGTGATAAATAATATTAACTTTAAAAACATTTAGACAATAGTGTGGAGTGGTGCTGTATATTCGTTGTGTTGTGGTTAAGATGACATAATTCTAATTCCCTGGGGCCTGGGTTTAAATCCTGTGTGAAAACCACTGTATATTCCCACGTCTTAATGCAACTCCATTCAATAATCCCAGTAAAGCGACTTAAGCCTAATTTATAGAGCATGGTCCCATCCTGTAGATAATTATCGGTGGGTGTACATGCTATTGGATGTGAAGGGGAAAAGTAGGCCATATACAGGGATATGGATAATGTCTATAATTGCGGTTAAATAGAATGTGGGAACGGCGGACGTTTATTTCAATTAGTCTACCATTATGCTGTAATTTGATGTGTCTGTTAATTACTTTAGTATTCTATGACTAAACTAGTTGCCTGTTCTGGCGTTGCGAGTAGCATCAAGCAAGAGCTTCTTAAATACAGTTTACCAGCATAATACCGGTACTCGGTGTTTAATCTGTCATTTGCCAAATAGACAAATCCTATGAAAGCTGAAATTTGCTAAATATTTCCATTCACAATTACCTAAAAAACTAATGGAATTATAGCTATCCTTGCTTATATTCTTTTGTTTTGGCTAATCCAAATTGTAATTGACTAATGATTTTCATACCGAATTAGGCAATTGTTAAATATTGTTTTGGCCAGGTTAAAACCTGAATATTGATTTCATGATGACGATGATGACGAGGATGATGATAATAAAGATGAGAAGATAATGATGATGGTAAAAATGATAATAATGAAGATGATGATGATGATAATGATAATGATGATGACAACGATGACAATGATGGTGATGATGATTATGATGATGACAATGATGATGATTCCATACATATTATCTTAAATCAGTAATCGGTACCGTACGCCTGGCTGGGAGAGACGTACAGGAGATAGAAATGGAACAAAGTTATCAAGAGTGGGAATCGAACCCCGGCCACAAGTTGTTGCAATATCCGAGGCTCACTGCCCCGCGTCTATCAAATTAAGCAGAGGAAGCTATGAACTCATAGCCTCAACATTCAGCAAGTATTATTTCTGACGATTCTCAAACAGATGAAAATTGATTAGTTAACCATTAAATGATTGTTAAAAACACTGTTTTGTTAAAGCTGATATGCCGTCCTCAAGTAACCTAGTCTGTACACTATCGTACTGTACACAAGTACGCTATCATTTTTAATAATTTCTGATTGGCTGATAAAGCAACCACCAGTTACATTTACGCCACGTGTTCAAATTGTTCTTTTCCGGCAAATGTAGTTATTTATTATGGTGAAGTTAAAGAGTTAAGCAGCAACACATTTTATATTTCCTATTCGAATAATAATAATAATACAACTAACTTCTTAGAAATGATTACTAAAAACAACTGTTGATCATACAATCCGCTTGAATTTGGTTTACATTGCAGTATATAGCAATATTCCTATACTACTATCAACTTTATTCAGTCATTCAACTTTAATGATTATACAAAATCCTGAATAGATGAGCCATGATGAAACGAAGGTCTTGATAATCTGAAACTCTCCTCCACGCATAAAAATAAAAATAGCGTTATATTATATACAATTATTATATTTGGTGTAGAACACATTTTCTCGTTTTATATTTTTTCTGAAAACTTAATGTACGTATAATAGTTTCTACCATTTTTATTTATTTAAATAATTGTACAGTATTTGTCCTACCTTGTAATCCCGGCCCCGAAACCTTGACTCAGAAATACTAGGTTGGTGACCGACGGGGGATAGCTTTTACCATATTGTAGTTAAGCTTAACCTTGAGCCGTAATTACTGGCCCCGAAACCTTGACTCAGAAGTACCGGGTTGGTGTCCGGCGGGGGATAGTTTTCTACTATTGTTTATATTATTGTACTATGCTGGTTATTTTTGTTGTTGTTATTGTACTGTGTTTTTGCAGGACCATATTGTAAAACAGCGGTAAGATCTCGCGTGTATTATGTTATCCTGCCTAAAGATGTTTTTAAATAAATAAATAAACAAACAATACAAAGTACGCAAATAATATTGTACTTTATAGTCATGTTCGCTTAAGGCAGACAGTTTACTTTAAAAGAATGTCACGGGTACCGTAAATTATGACACTAATCTAAAGAATGTATGCCATACCATTGTAAATGTACAATATAAAACTTTCTTTTGGGGAAAAACTATAGTAATCAAAGCCGCAGCACATTGTCATTTTGGGGGTGTGCGTGGGTTTGCAAAAAATGGACCAACTGAGGTACAATTTCAACTGTTTTAAGAATGTGGAACTTTTTTATATTTAGGAGGAGGTAAACATTTCCGATTTTCGCAGCTATACTTTTTCCCACCCGAATCACTTTCGAGAATTTTTGGGAACGTACTGACTGAGGATTCAGTGCGATAACACGTCAGGTCAGGTAGGGCAAAAATTTCTCCTGACGCAAAACGGTTCGGAAAAGCAATGCCGTACCCGCTGCTACTTGGGGATCGGATTCATTAATAGCCACTAAGCGCAAGCTCAGTGGTTTAATGGTTAAGGCACCAGTCTAGTTTCTGGAGATCGTGGTGGGTTCGGTTCCCACCCGAATCACTTGCGAGACTTTTTTTACAAGTATTGGAAACGTTCCGAGGCATTCCGTACGGTAAAATGTCAGGTAGGGCAAAAATTCCATTCGTATTAGATATATGCCTAAATGATATTAAACAGTATATATGCATATATATACATATATGTAGGCCTACATAAATACATATAAACATATAAACATATACATATATACATATACATATATATACATATATA